AATGCAGGCTATATGCGCGATACGCTGACAATCCATAGGTCTGTATCACTACACTCTTCATTCGGAACATGATGCGGCCCTTCCGGCCAGGTGACCAGCTCAATGACCACGCTGTACCGATTACAGACGTGATGCAACAACTACAAGCTCAGCTCGCAGAATTCCGAGCTTTAAAGGAGCAAATCGACGCCAGTGCCGGCACTGCAACTAGCTATACATACACCGACCCCCAGTATAGCAACGGTGAGAGCAACTATGACTCTGCCTCGTCGTCCTATCTTCATATGGGACCGCCATCTGACGAGTTTAACCCTGGCGGACCTCGTCCTTGAAATCCACCCTGAACATATCTCCGGCAAGGCTTACATTCTTCGCATCTTTGTTGTATTCCTTGCTCTTTTCTTTTTAGCTTCTTCTTATTTTATTTGCAGAGCGGCGTCTCTTGGGTTGGTGGGAAGTGTGAATTCACAGCATAGGTTGGAGCCTTGGAAGGGTGGGGTTCGTCTTTCTTGCCCTTTATCTCCTTCTTGGTGGTATCTTTCTTCCCCAACTTTTTGGTTACTGTGCATCTAATGGAAATGTAAAAGCAAATTCTCATTTTATCTGGGGGCTACCTCGTAATTGTACAAGCTACATGGAGAGTAGAGCGGGCCGCAACATTCCGCCTCAGAACTGTATAAGGCCTCCAGGCGATGAGTTGATAAGCGAGGTAGAATATGGTTATCTGCCTATCCACTTTGTATACCATTCTGGGAATATTTACAATTAAGCGGATTGCACTGTCAAGTATATAATATGTTACCATATAGGATAGGATATCTAAGTAGCTATTGTCTGGAGGAATGCGCCACGGTGGAGACCTCAGGCGCGCTGCCTCCCGCTCACGTGATTGCACCGTTTGTTATGATTTGTCTGCATGACGGGGGCCAAGGCCAGCTTGCTCATCTTGCCGTATCCGTTCTCCAGCTCGTCCCCTTCTCCTCTCTCCCCTTTTCATCACTCTCTGTCAGACTCGAATTGATTTGTATCATTTTAGATTCTAGAGTGTCTTGAGATATCGAATTGGGTCTTATTTGTTACTCTCAACCGGCCAGTTGGCTTCTCTTGCCACGGCCCCGCTTGGTTGCCCTGGAGACCATCGATTAACGGCTATTTCCGTCATTGACGAGCTGGGGGCTGCACAATAATCAAGTTCTCACACCAAAAGAGCGGAGACCAGGAAGATCTTTCCTTCCCATCCGTCCGTTCAATTTTTCCCTCTCCGCAAAACTCCATCCGCATTTTCCTTTTCCAAATCGGTTTTCGTGGCGTTGATAAGCTACGCGAATCGCTTCCAACATGGCGGACGGTTTGGAGTATCTCGCTCCGGATTTTGATCTTAATTCCCTTACCGTGCCGCGTCTGCGATCGATCCTTGTCAGCCATGATGTTCCCTACCCTGCCTCAGCCAAAAAGGCTCAACTTATTGGTATCTTGGAGGCGGAAGTTATGCCGCAGGCTCGAAAGCTGCTGAGAGAGCGCGAGAGAGTCAGGAGGACCAGCGAGGGTATTACAGACATGGGAAGTCGCGCGACGTCAGTTGCTACTGACTATGATGACTACCGCGGAACCCCGGCGAGGGATTCGATGCCACCCCCGCCTACACCGTCTACGGTATCGACAGCGACTGGCAGAAGGGGACGTTCTAGAGCTAGCGTTAGAGCGTCGACAGCGGACACAGAGGAAAGAAACGCTACAGCTACTCCATCAGCGAGCTCGAGGAAATCTATCCCCAGGTCGCAATCGAGAAGATACCGCACGTCAGACACGGAGCCGCAGGAAGATATGTTGGCAACGCCTATGGCAACTGACACCGTGACACCACGGAAGTCCACTACCAGAAAATCCAGACGCAGCGAGATGACGCCATCTGTGAACCCCGAACCTCCCGTTTCTGCCATTAAACTTGAACCGAAAGAGGAAAGCGTTTTCACCGATGATAATCCCTTCCAAAGTGGATCGCCCGCCCGTTGGGAATACAAAAGCCCGAGGCCGTCTAGTCATAAATCGGAAAGAAAGAGCAGCTCGCGGTTTTCGCTTGAATCATCTGCCTTGAGTAGTGGTCTGCGGTCAAGAAAGTCTGTCACGCCAGCAGATCTGCACGATCAACAGGGTGCTACTCCATCAAAACGGTCACCATTTGAGTTGCCCATCTCGAATATGAGAACGCCACCACAGAATTTCGATCCGATCAAGTACGAGGAGGATAGTGATTTTAGTGCGGGCGAGGAATTTACACCAGACGAGCAGTTGGCGCTCGAGAGGGAGCACGCAGACTTGATGTATAGTGCCCCAAGCCGGCGGCCACAGAAACAAGGAACTACAAGCCGCGCTGCGCCTTGGGTTATTCTCGTCGTATTGTTCGCAAGTTTCGCTGCTTGGTGGCGTAAGGAGAAGGTTGAGATCGGATTCTGCGGCATTGGCAAACCCACTTGGTCCTTGGCCGAAACCAGGGTCCCTGAATGGGCCAACATCCTTGAACCTCAATGTGAACCGTGCCCCCCCCATGCATTCTGCTACCCCAACTTTGAAGCTCGGTGTGAACACGACTTCCTGCTTAAGGCACACCCGCTGTCTCTGGGAGGCTTGGTTCCGCTCCCCCCCACCTGTGAGCCAGACAGCGAGAAAGCGCGTCGCGTGAAGGCTGTCGCAGATAAAGCCTTGGAAGCATTGCGTGATCGCAGGGCGAAGTGGGAGTGTGGTGAGCTGGCGCAGGATGAAGAAGGCACAGTCGGTGCGGAAATTAGCGAATCTGACTTGAAACAGGAAGTGGGGAGACAACGTCGGAAAGGCATGAGTGACACTGAATTTGATGACCTTTGGAAGGGAGCTCTGGGCGAAGTGATTGGGAGGGAGGAGGTTGTGACCAGAATGAAGCAGTAAGTCGATCATCTTTCTTAATCTGGAGGCTCTATCGCACCTGCCCGGAACCTATGGTGGCACCGAAGGAATCAGATTCTGACGTGTATTCACGGCACTAACAGAGGCGACAACATGATTACAGACCATCCTCTGTCCTCACCCTCACCTCGACCTCCGTCAGCCGTCTCCCTCTCACATGCGCCTTCCGCCGCAACATCCGACTCTCTCTCGTCGCGTATCGATTCCCTCTTTCGGTTTTAGCTCTCTGCGCATGTGTAGTCTTCTACGCACGCTCAAGGGTCCGGGCTCGCCGTTCTGACATGGCTCGAGTCCCGGAATTAGTCGCTACCACACTCGACCGGTTGGCGACGCAAGCTGCCCTTCACGCTCGGGGTGCTGCTCTCGAGCCCTATATTCCAATTGGTCAATTGCGCGACGATGTACTCCGCTCAGAACTGCGTGGCAGTCGGCGCGAAGCATTGTGGAAGCGCGTTCGCAGTGTAGTGGAGGGCAATGCGAACGTTCGCGCATCAGTTCGCGAGGGCCGTGGTGGGGATGTTGCTCGCGTCTGGGAGTGGATCGGTGGGATTGGCAGTGTCCGGAGTGAGATCGAGAGCAGCATTGCAACAGGCCGTGAGAGCGGTAAAGTGCATTTCTCCCCACTACCTGCCGAGCAGAGCCGTGATCAATCCGTTGGAGAGGCCACGCTGGCGCAGAGCCCAGGAGAATTGCGCAAATGGGATGAGGGCAGACCTATCTACTGAAGGTCTGCTCTGCTCCCTCCTTATCCCCTTCTTGGAAGTTCATACTTTGCCCTCTACATTATTTTACAACTTCGTGTATACACTATTAGGATTCCCCCGCAGGTCAGAATTTTGAATTAGGCAAACAATTTTGCTCGTTGTGTTCCAATTTCGCTGCACTTTGTTCGTACAATGTTTTGGCGGTGTGGATCTCCAGCTCAAAGGCCTGTTGAGCCCATAGTTTACTTGGAGGATATTACGAACTTCGAATAGTCGACACAGGAATTAATCTCCGAAATGAGGTGGCGCACGGAAGTAATCTGGGATACCCCCATTACCCCATCCTTGCTCTGTCGGTATGTTGCGATTACCTCAGGACAAGAAGTGAACGCTTGCATATAGCAAGGACGTCAGTTCGGTAGGTTACTCAGGTTCATCGCTAGGCAACTCTGGTTCGTGACATCAAGGTGTCGTACCGAACCGACTTTGAGTGCGATCACACGACCCCACAGCCACGGCATAGATGCCAGCCTATCAAACGCTTGATACTCCTGATCGCCAGCGTTGAGAGGGAGGGAGCCGTGGTTACAACAGCAACGATTGCCGGGCTCCTATACTAGTTGGACCGTTGCAACTCTCGCAAACCCCACTCACGCAACCGAGCTTCGGCCGCCAGCGGATGGAGGTAGTGGTCGGTTCAGGACCTTCATATTTATCAGCTACCTCGACACGATACTCGCTCTTAACCTACTCTGCTAGTGGATGGCGTTCATGTGGATTGGGAACTAATGAAACTGCATTAGCGATCTGGGTCCCGAGAACGTCCCCATAGAGTTGGTACTCTAGTCGCGTCGGTTATCTCGAAAGGGTTTAGATTGTCGATGTGATTGGCAAGCAGAAGATATAGATGCGGTGTAGTTCCAGGGAGTCCACTTGTACTAAGCCCGAGTTGAAAGAACTGAATTTTAACTTGGGGGATGTTCAGAGGTCTAGCCAGTATATAGGTTAGCACAGGGGAGTCAAGTAGTAGGGGAGGGGAGAGTTGAGAACCTTGGCTTGGGTGAGCTCGTATTAGCCAGCCATGGTGAAAGGGGAAGAGGCTGGGAGCAAATGCTATCGAAAAGTAAAACCGACAAGACTCTTCTGCTGCATGTGTATTTGAGGGGACCCAGTGCCCTCTCTAGTTGAATCTAGACTTGATTGACTTTACTATTGCCGCCGGTCTTTGACCAAACCAGGCCAAGTCCGACCGGGACTAGCGGCAGTGGGCCACCCGGGCACGTGAGCGCCTGCCTTGCACTGACAGCTGATCTCCTCTACGGCGCGGCAGTTGGTTAACTTCAATCCTCAGTTCAAATCGCTTCCCTTGCTGCTGGGTGAATGGTACTGGCTCACATTCTGGCTTTTTTTCCCCTAGGGTTGCGGTGTCCTATGGTTCCCCCAGTCCCCCAGATTCTGACCTGCAGTGTATGAAGGGACTAAGTTGGGGAGCAACCAGGCACTTAGCCTTCCCACTGTGCTTTGAACGCATCCACACCTAAGCTTTGCAGAACCAGTAATCGGGGCACAACCCGCTCTTGGTCTGTGTTTCCTCATTGCATACGTGGGTGGTCACACTGTGGCTAAGAACCTTTGGAAGCAGGTTGTTGACGAAGACATCGACCCAGCGGACTAAGGTCCTGGGTCCTCTGTTCGTTCCGTCTATTGTGTCTCCTCGTGGCCTATCAAATCTTACGGATAAATTATCCGGCTTCAGGCCGCCATCGAATTCGTGCAGAGCATCGGCCGTTACTTTAGTCAACCAATGGTCCTCCGTTAATTTGGTCAAAGTTATGCTCGCACAATCCCAGTAATTTTCCATTCAAGAACCCCCTTGCGAGAGGATTCTTCGAGCGTCTATGAAGGGGCGTGAGGGAGCCATCTCGTCCAGTCAACCGCCTACAGCAGAAACAAGGGAAAGAAAAGGTTCAACAAAACTAGATTCTACAGATACCCGAGGAATATTGGAAAGGGGAACGCCGGTAGAGCTGCTCAATACGGAAAGGAGGAACGAAGACTGATCCAACGAGTGGTGGTGGGAAACCATATTACTCAGGGAAAGGACGGATGGGCCCTTTAGGCATTTTAGCTGCGCATCGCCGTGTTGGAGACTGAGACTGCCTAATCACCAAACTTGCTGTCTGACCGCTGCTGGGTCTGTCCCCAAAAAAACCCACCGAAGGCTGGGCTGTCCCTGATATCCATTGCCATTGCAAACTCTCTTCCATCTTGGTGGATAGTTCGGGTGCCGCCATCCAGCTGGATGTCCCATGCACTGGTCCCCTCGACCTGACTCGCACATCTCATCCCAGCTGGGTTTCTTCTTCGCCGGCACACTCTTCTTTTCTTGCACCCGGCTTCTTGGCCATAAATGCCCGAGGTTTTGCTGTTCCTGGAACGACTGGAGGAGAGCCACAGCCTTGGGGACGGCCCGTGGGCCTGCGTAGGTCCCGATGTGTCACAATTCACAACTCACACCGATCCTATTTTCCCCCCCCTACTTGTATTGGGCCGTAATTTTGAGTTTTTTTTGGAAAATCCCCCCTTCGAGAGTGCAGATGCTGCTTTTCGAACCCACCCACTTTCTCTCGTCCTCGACCGCCCGCGGTACGCCGGTGCGACAACGCTGCAGGACCTGGCTAGTCCGTTGAGCATGGGGCTTTCTTTGGCCGTCCGGCATAGATGCGCCTCCTGGTGAGGCGAGTGCTCCTAGAACTTTCTACCCGCGATCTTATCTGACACTTCGTTGTCCCCCTCCCACGGGCCTCTTGTCTTCTCCCGTCGCTGCTTCTTCTCCCCCTCCGTCATCATATACAGACACACTCTCTCTTCAGTCATGGCCCAACAAGGGTCTGGGAAACCTTTTCGTCCCATTGCCCCTAGGAGGATACCAGAGCCTCCAACCCCGGCCGCTGCGCCCGAGGAGGGGAAAATAAAGCGAGCTTCCACGGCTTGCGGGGAATGTAAACGACGTCGAACGAAGGTGAAAACCCCCCCAACTTGGCTCTTCTAGTACACTTCAGCGGTTGCCTTTCCTTTATAATGCATCACAATGATTCATCCAGCCAACCCCCCCTTTCCCTTTCCCCCCCTCCTCCCCCACCTGTTAAGTTCCTTTATCCTCCCCCTCTTTCTGTTCTGACCCGGGTGGCGGTATCACAGTGTAGTGCAGATACAACAGGGACGCCGTGCGCTGAATGTGCTCTCCACGACCGGGAGTGCGTGATCGATGAATTCGCCGATAAACGACGCAAGGTAGCGGCCAAGCGTGCCCAGGAGGATCTAAAATATTACCGGGGCTTTGTGGAACAACTTCTTGAGGCGCTGCGATCTGGTGACTGTGCCACCATCGATGGTATTCTCGACGTCATCCGGTCGGGCGCAACTCATGATGAAATCCGGGCGGTTCTTGCTCGCTCCGCGCCGAAGGTTGAGATTAATATCCCCGACGGAGTAGATTCCGTGGTGACAGACGGCAACAACAGCCCGCCGGCGAGCTCCAAGCCGGATGGCCTACCCGAATGACGAGAAATAAAACGAACCTACCACCAGCGACGATTTATACTTGATGACCGCTTACCTTTCCTATCTACGACTCTGACACGAGCACGCGACGACAGCACCGGTTTACTCTTTTTTTTTGGCTTTCTATTCTTCGACAAGACAATGAGAGGCTACGTTAATGGGCCTCGAGGAAGGAGACGAGGGGAGGGGAGAAAGGGGCCAGGTTATTTGAAGGGTAATATAATTCCCTTAGGTCACTGTTAAAAAGAAACAAAGTGAGAACATACATTTGCCAGGCTTCCCATCACAGATTTCCTATCTTCTCCATATCCTCTCGTCCCTTCGCTGCTCCTACGGTGGCTCTGGCATGGTTTGGTGGATGGCTGAGACTCGTGAGCGTCTATGGGGGCCCTCTTCGCTATTCTCGTTTCGATACCTTCCTATGCCATTGAAGACATCACGATCAACCCAAAGAGGTCTTAGGTGCTGTCTGTCTACTATGTTGGGGCTGGGTGAAGGTCTCTTAAGCGCTACATACTCTGAAAACAATAAAGTAGCCAGTTCAGGAGACTACACTGAGGAGAGGAGGTGGAACTCAGGGTGCGTATCTTTTTTGGCACCAGAAGCAGTGAAGACGAAGCACTTGAGCGACAGAAGAGGCGTCATGGCTACAGGAGCCCATTCTTCACGAGAATCCGCATATGTCGATCAATGGGCTTGAAATAGCGCGCTGGTGAACGCTCAGGGTTGAAGTTGGGTCACTGACAGCAAATCGTGCATATGCAGGTCAGCCTATGATTGGGTCTGTCTGGAATGCACATTAATCTGCATATTTGATCACCTGCCGGCTCATGGGCCTATCTGGACGAGCGGAGGACCAACACGTCTATCTTGTCATTTTTCCGTTCCCCAAGGCACAAGTATGATTCATGCAGAATGCAAATTGGGCCACGGTCGTTTTCTTCGACCACGGCCACGTCAGGCTTGCGTTTGAGGTATATTACTGGCTTTACAGGGCTCTTCTACAGAGACTAAGGCTTTTACGGTGGTCCACAATTGGAGATATCCGTCAATGCCTGGCGTGGCTCGGGCTTTCCGGGGTGGGGTCATGGCTCCAACCATCTTTCGATGTTATATTGAGATTATGAGCCAACGGCGAGCTAGTGTGATCGCCTAGTACTATTCCTCTGCCTGGTTAGTAAACTGCGTTGGCGCGATGGAGGCATCGCTGCAGGGTACTGCAGCCGCAGCGTTCTCAGTCTGCAGTGCAGGCCATCACGAGATATGACAAGCCGGAATAGTCTTCAGCCCTATTCGAAACAATGCACTGTTCGAGAAATGCATAAACAATGGAGATCCCATGTTTGTCTTGTAGTGGGACCGTATACAATAATCCCGGTCATACATTTAAGTTCCGTTCCGACAAACCGGGACACCTGACTGGGCCGTCCGTATATATGCTCTGAAGTTCTTGGTCGGCATTAACCGGCAGATATAACCCTGTAAGGAAACGTCACAATCAAGCCCTGATAGTCGGAAGTCAAAGCTTATGTATGTACTCCACTACCCCAATATCCAACGGCACCACCTACTCACTTATCCTAAGACTTGTGATGGTAAAGTAGAAAGCTTGAACATACGCCATGGTAAGAGACATACTCAATCTCGAGTCATATTATCGTATTTATTATTCCCATGAAGGCACATTGCAGGCTTTATATGTCCAGTACTTCCATTTTTATGTAGCTCCCTTATGTACCTTTTCGCTTACGAGATATCACCACTCCATTGTCATCAGTATATGCCCCCCCAACAAAGTTTTTCAGAGCTGGATAAGCTGCAAGTATCCTGGTATTTCGGTGGTCAATGTCAATGAAGCGCCGAGGACGAGTATAGATCTCAGAAAGCTGGTCACCATTAAGCTCATCCACAAGTGTATTTGCCTTGCAACATGACTGCCAGCTTTTATGGCTCGCATATTGAATGAATGTGTCATGATCATCAGATTCTCTTATTGAAATTCGGAATGCTAGTCGAGCTCCAGGATCTTCATCTCTGATATCTTGCGCCCAGGCAATGGGATTTCTCGCCCCAGGCGGGGAAAGCTCGGCCTTGATCCAAAATCCATCTTTATAGTTTTTTCTAGTCAAATTGAAATAGATACTAATGTGCTAGATATCTATATTATAATTTCCTGAAGCTTGTTTATGATCTTGATACGAGCAGCTTAAGACTACACTTAATGTAATAGGATCGACTTGTCAGAGTAGAAAGCCTGTCGATTAGGTAAGGAATCGGCCACGAAAAACTGTAGATTCGTCTTAGGGCGACAAAGGTAGCCTATATCCACATAGTAGACTGATCCTTGCGGGATCGGTAAGTGAAACAAGAGGTTACGACTTATTATAGACATCGAAACGGTCGTCGAACGTTATCGATGACCTCACGACTCGCAGGGTCCAACTTCGCTATGACCCCGAATGGTTCCTGCCTTCCGGACCAGCCCGATCCTGATCTGTTACAGACATGCAAGCATAAATGATCAGAAGAGGTTTCTGGTAAGTTTTGAGGGGTCACATGTTCCGAAGGCACCAGGTAGCCTCATGAGACAGGATTCACAGGATTGAAAGAATACCGGAATCATATTGAAGTGATTCCTTGTTTGCATCTAATATTCTAGATTTGCTAGCTAAATTGATAGACTACAAATAATTGTGCTATAGTATGCTCAACAGTCCCTGTCTCTGAAACAGTATGGCATATAGTATTCGAACGAATCTTTACTGAGTAGGCCAAAGCTATATATACTATTACTAGTAGTAATCCACACTCGAGCAAACAGAACAACATTTACTTAAAACTATATTAGCATCACCTACAATGATCTGGCATATCATGAAGATATTCAAATATTCATATGTATCATCAGCTTGGCTTATAGAATAAGTTATCAATCTAAGACATAATTATATTCTTATAAAAGTAGGTAAACCACAAGCAGACGGATGATAGATTCTCATGATATAGATATCTTATTCTGGGTCATGGCCGGATGTCTACAATCTATCGCCATCAAGAATAACTACACCCCTGTTGTAGGTTAATAAGGCTATAAATATCAAGTAAATTAGTCAGTGTGGCCGAGTGGTTAAGGCGTCAGACTCGAAATCTGATACGTTCGCGTGCACAGGTTCGAATCCTGTCGCTGACGACTTTTTTGACTCTGCTTTTCCAAAAGATGACTTGTGAACTCACTTATAGTTCTTAACATGTAGAATACAGACAGCTGATCCATCAAAAATCGGCATAAAAATTTTTTTGGTGGAAGAAAGCATGCGCTTTTTTACGTATATATGTACTATAATCAGAAATAATCAATATTAGCTACAAATACTGGAGAATACAAAGTGCACATTTCCAGTAACTCCGAACTAAAAGCAGGAGAAGTATATAGCCTGGTTTCATATGGAATCGTTACTATCGTTACTGGATTCCCAACAGTGAGACCTTTCTTTAAATCACGCTCGTTTACCTTCATTTCTAGTAGTAATACTTTGGGCGAAGTCGTGAACCGCAACAACAGCAGCATGGCTGAACGTTGAACCATGTAATGATGCAAGAGAGCATTCTGCATGTTTATCCCGCCTAGTATAATTCCATCTGAATACTTGTCAATCAATCGAATAATCATCTTTCTCATATTGCATACGGCGGAAGCCCTACCGATCATCCTATATTGATAGCTTACGAATAGATGAAATAAACGGGTCAGAGGAGTCAGTCCTTGAATGAAAGGGAATTTTGCGAAATAAAATATATCATTTCTAAACATTTCAGACTTATTCGAAGAGAAACAAAAAGATATGTTATTGGAGATACTGAATCTCAGTCGTCAGCGACAGGATTCGAACCTGTGCACGCGAACGTATCAGATTTCGAGTCTGACGCCTTAACCACTCGGCCACACTGACTAATTTGCTTAATATTCGGGCCGGGTTTAAGCCCTATACAGCAGGGCCTTGTTTAAGCCCGGCATATATAAATTTGTTCACAAGTCAATTTATGAACTCTGACCTTAACTGTGACGGTCCGGAAACCCTCACATTCACCTAAGCTTATAAGCGATGCGCGTTCTGAGTCTGTTGACTCGAATTCTAGTCTTTTACCGGATAATCTAGTGGTTTTAGATCTGGAAGATTTACTCCTGAAGCGCGCCGGGATGGGATCCTGACATTAACCACTCGGCCACACTGACTAGCTCATATCCTTTCGGGCTGTTGGTAAGTCCTATACAATACAGGATTGATTAAGCCCAATATATTAACAACTATAAAGTTGGTTCACAGCTCATTCTATGGAAATAACAGTAAAAAAGTCGTCAGCGACAGGATTCGAACCTGTGCACGCGAACGTATCAGATTTCGAGTCTGACGCCTTAACCACTCGGCCACACTGACTAATTTGTATCATTTCGGGCCTTTTTTAAGCCCTATCCAACAGCAATGTCAATGAGTTCGCGTTCAAGATGTTGGATAGTATCCACGTGATTGTACATGTTTTCTCCGTTTACATGGATTTCACAAATACTGCTATGATCAGCACATGAATTAGTATGCTCTCCCATGTGGAATTCATAAAGTTGTGGGGTCAGATCAGTGAGCGGCCTCGGTGCACGCCTTGGATTACAATATCTCGGTTATACTAACGTAACATAAGTAATAGAAAAACCCTTCGGCTGGGGCACTCTGGGACCAACAATTTTAGAATTGTTCGGCTCATTTATATCTGGCTTTGTTGGGAGACATATTGAAAGTCGGTACTATGTTGCTGATACATATATAACCTCACCTTGGTCACCTAGCACGATTTATCCTGGATCTGCCACTCATCATTGTCACATCTCTGAACAGTACTACTACCGGCATAATCTATTCATCCATCCATCCATCCATTCATTCAAAAGCTCTATATCTCCCACGGACCCGTCCTCAGGATACACAAAGTGAGACGTCAAAATGACCACCACCGACCTCCTGCAAGAACCATGGACTCCCGTCCACCCCATAACCATCGCCATCATGACACTAGCCCTCACCATCTACCTATCACTAGTTCAACATCTCCGCTACCAGCGCAAAGCAGCAATAGAAGCCCCATTCATAACCAACAAAAGACCTCTATCAAGCATGACCATCGAAGAAGCACATACAATCATAACCCAATTACAAGAGCTTGAATTTCCATATGCATTCGCCAAGGCTCGTCGGATGGCTCTCTTGAAGGTACGCACGACTGCATAGAACAAATCTGCAACCAATAGCTAACTAGATACTAACCAGGCCGGAGGCATCCCCACCATGTCGAAGCTATTCGCCGTCACAGGCCAGAACAACAGACGAAACGCCGGTAAGCGAGCCGTTGACACGGAGATTCTCCTCCGGGAGTCGCAGTCGCAGCGGAGAGATTCAGATCGCTATGCGACTGCTGTGGCGAGGATGAATTATCTGTATGTGCAATATACCTTCATTAAGGTTGATGAGTTTCTGTTCTAGAATATACAAACTGATCACTAGTAGCCACGCCCGCTACCGTCGCGCCAACAAAATCACCGACGACGATCTCCTCCACACGCTAGGCGATGGACTTGCTGAAATTCTGAACGTGATTGAGCGAGAAGAATGGCGTGGTCTCACAGACGTGGAGATATGTGCCCTTGGAATATTTCACAAGAATCTGGGAGAGGATATGGGGATTCCGTATGATGTGCTTCCATCTAAGGCGGAGGGGTGGGAAGATGGGGTGCACTTTGCAATGGAGTTGACTCGCTGGACGGTTCAGTATGAGGAGAGAGTTGCGAAGTTCACGGCAACGAATGATCAGTATGTTCGTATTTATGTGGATTCTGCACTTCCGGGGCTTCTTAGGCCGGTGGTGAGGCGGGTGTTGGGTGCTGGCTTGGATGAGGTTATGAGGTTAAGTCTGGGGTGGGTTTCTCATACTCTATAATGCTGTCATACTGATTTATACACTGTTCACCCTGGCTAACAGCTATTATCAGTCTCGAATCCCCAGGATACATCTTATCATTCGTGATCAACTTCGTGCAAGCCTCACGAAAACTATTCCTTCAATACCTGGCCCTTCCGCGCCCTTCTTTCCATGCCGTCAAACTAGTGCACGATCTGCCGAACCAGAAGACGAATCTATATAACTTTGAAAGAAAGGTCTTGCAGCCATGGTATATTCGTCCAACTGTGTGGTCGAAATATGGCCCTGGGGCATTGCTGATTAGATTGTTCGGAGGCAAGGTGCCTGGCTCACGTGGAGATCGGTATCAGCCACAAGGATACGATTTGATGACTATTGGGCCGGAGCCACAGAAGGGAAGAGGGTCGGAGGAGATGAGAGGTGATATTGAGGTGATTAAGGCGAGGGGGGTGGCGACGTGTCCGTTTTCGAAGGCGAAATGGGATCATCATGGCGCAAATTGACGGGACAGTATACATGTCGACTAGATGGCGACACTATAGGGGGTTTGAGCATGCTTTGGAACGCATTAAGATTAGGAGGTAGGACTTTCATGTTTAGATGTGCTTTAGGACTTCTTACGTTGATGTTTTGGTGATTGATAGGTTCTGGTTGCGCCTGGCTTGTAGATGTTGACTCGTCGGATATTTTGATGTTGATGTTGATGTCTGTGCGAGTAATGGCTTCGGTATGTTCTCGGAGTTTCATACCATCCTCTTTTCCTGCTCTAGAGTGAAGCTATACGAACAGGAACTTTCTTTAAATCTTGTTCTATAGACCTTTGATATTATTATTGAGTTGAAAACTCTAAGACAGACTTCGTCTAATCACAGCAGCTGTCCTGTAATGTTGGCTATTAGCCCGGCTTGAAAGTCCGAACATAGTACCCATTCCCCACCGAGATATTATAATCAACTCAAGCCAAGCTCCGAGGCAAGTGACTAGCACAAAGCTATCTGTCTCCATATATATGATCCACTCTCCGCATCGAAGCCTGCAACGCACGTTTAACATCCACCTCCCTAAACCCCGGCGCACGACCAAGAATAACAAGCCCAGGAAGGAGTCCTACATCACTCATCAGCATACAACCTGAATCCCAGCCGGAAACATCAAATAACTTACTCAGAAAGAATCCCTCGACATCCAAAACCCACGACTCCCCAGCATCCCCAGTCCTACTGCACCTCCGAAACATCCATCCATTAATGACATCAACCCCCATCGATTCCAGAAATCCCTCCACATCACGACAATCAAACCACGTCCCTCCAAGGCCATAGATCTCCAGCACATCACCCCTACTCTTACTAGTGTCCATCACCCCCAACACCCTCCCCGGCATTCTCCTATTCCGTGGTACATCCCCATCAGCCCCCTGAAAATGCGTGCCCGCTCCTCCAACGCCGTAGAAGGGTAATCCTGGTACCTCTAACGGATCGGTACACCCGCCCATCAAGAGCTGCTTGAAGCGCGGCTGAGTCTTCTGCGGGTCTTGGATGCAAGGTACGAGACGGAATACGCGGTAGATGGTGGATGGGTTGGAGCGCGGGTCTGTGAAGAGGCGGTAGGCGTGCTCGAGGGTGTAGCGGTGGAGTTGGCGTGCGAAGCGGGGCTCGCAGAAGGCGTAGGAGTGTTGTTTTGTTGGGAGGGGTGTGAGTGATTGATTATGGAAGATGGAGTGGTTGTTATTGGGGGATGTGGATACTTGGTGATATTGTATGGATGGAGATGAATTTGATGCTGGAGATGAGGATGAGGATGAGGATAAGGGTATAAGATTGTCCGTATTCGCCTCATTGGGCGTGCTACTGTCACAATCGGCTATAAGAATGTCATGGAGTCGTTTTAAGCGAGTATGGATTGTAGGATGTGACAGATGTAGTTGGTGCTTCTCAGTGGCGACATCGGACAGTAGCCCTGCTACCTCTTCCCTGACAATGCGGAATCTTGCTTCGAGTTGTTCAGCCCTGTTGATCGCATTTCGAAACACGGCTTCCTTTTTGAGTCTGTATGTGCGTTGAGCACGACGGACTTGGGTGCGACGATTGGGGGAGAGGATGGCGGTGTTGTTGGTGGCGGGTGTGATGGTGTCTAGACGGGGCCGTCCTACTCGTTTGCTTGATCGGCGAGGTGTCATCTTCCACGAAGTTTTCCTTGGGTGAGCATATAGGAGGTTCGTCTTGTAAGATTGAGGTGATTTATTCGCTAATATGTCTACTGTGTTGCATAAATTGATTGTGGCATTAGATTAATAAAATTCTGTGCTGAGCATGTAGTGAGTGAAGTTTGGTTCTGATATTGTAATCTCGGAAATGGAGCCTCGGCATAAATCCAATCACCCAACATTTATCTCATCTAAGTACTCCACAAACAGTTCCCAACATTATCCCAACTTGTAATGCACCAATATCCTGCATATTATCTGGTTGAATCATCAGATCCGGATCTGATATCTCGGCATGCACAACCAAATCCCACCGCTACAATGTCTACATTCTTATTGCTCTCTTATCCCTCGTTGGAACCTCAGCAATGTAGTTTGCAGGTCTGAGCAGGCTCAGTCAGCTACCTGACATCATTCAAACCGTGCCAGATCCGCGTGAAAGAGCTTCAATGATGCAGAAACCAAGGAGTCCAAGTCAGTGGCACCAGACTTCACCCTGGCGTCCTCGATGCTTTGCCGACTGGCAACCAATTTCTGCGCAACTTGGCCCCATTCCACCGTTTGCTTCGGTATATGGACCTCCGGAAACGACGGGCCTATTTCCACAGGTGTCAATCTACCGTGCTTCTTGCGCACCTGTCCATCGACAATGACGGTTTCAACGTCACGTATTGAAGAGTGGAAGACGATAGCTGCGACTGGGTCCTGCTCACTCGCGCATATCATCCCCGGGCTGGTTCCATCGAAAATGACTAGATCGGCTAGCTTTCCCACTTTGATAGAGCCCAACTTGTCCTCCATATGTAAAGTACGGGCGCCCTGAATGGTTGCCAGGCGGAAGACATCCTGTACTGAAAGATCCAACGAGCGGGGTGTCTTTCCACTGGCAATGACCTCTTCGTTCCGACGAGCCCGTTCGGCTTGCAACCCTAGACGCATAGCTGTCACGATGTCGCTAGAGGTGCTGCTATGACAGTCGATCCCCAGGGAACTTATCTTACTACATCCATCCTGAAAGCAGACTGGGTATCCATGTGCCATCTGCAGTTCCGAGCCTGGGGTAGATGAGATCCATGACTTTGCCTTGGACAGCTTCTCGACGTCGCTTGATGTGAGATGTGTTGCGTGGGAAAGGATGATATCTGGTCCGAGCAGACCATAGCTATCAAGGAGATCAACAAGTGAATCGTCACCTGTTTTGGTTAGTCCTGTACATATTCAGTGTGTGGTAACATACTGAAGTGACCCCGGACGTAGTGCGTAGTTATAACCTTCGTGCCCGCCTTGCGGGCTCTGTCGTAAAGCGATACCACAACATCTTTGGGAAGCATGAGCCCATCGAAGCCCAACCCTATTTCGACTCTGCCGTCTCCGTATGGAGCTGCTGTAGCGAGATCACTCAGCTGCTTTAGCACCCAGTCATCTAGGAAATTTCCGCCAGGTACTATCTCCGGCTTCCATGACTTGACGGTGTGAGTGGGAGTGTAGCAGAAAATTGATCTAATTCCGGATGAGATCGTGGCTTGGAGGCCATGCAAGGCTACACTCGGTGAGCATCAAGCTAGAATAATTTGAGTCCATCAACTTACAATGAGCGGCTGTAACATTCATATGAGCATGATCTACCACAGTTGTGGTGCCGGCATCCAAGGCCTCCAGACAGCCTGCTAGCTGACCCCAGAAGATATCCTCGGGCGAATAGTTGATTTGTTGAAGGTTTCCTACATACTTAAGCAACTAATAGTGCTAGGTTAAGAAGAAAACAACTGACCAGTTGGCATATACTCTATCAAAGTATGGTCGGCATGACGCCCCTTCAGCTGCGTCTGCCACAGATGATGGTGCGTATCAATAAACCCTGGCGACACAATCTTGCCTGTACAGTCAATCACCTGAGTTTCAGCCGATGGAGGCGCAATATGCGACGAGATCTGCGCTATCTTGTTCCCCTCAATCAATAGAGAGTGCTTGCGGAGTGGTACGACATCATCCCCGGACGGGACGAGGATGGTCGCATTCTGGAGCAAGATCGTAGAAGGCATTTTGTAACAGCTGCTTGAAGGTTCTATCCAACTTAATCTGCGTGAGGCGGGGGTTTTATACATAGGTGCCTATGGTCTCGATGTGGGGAAGCTAGGGAGCTCAATTTCCGTGTTCGGATAGGTGGTGTGACTAAAATCCCACGTCACTCCTTCGATGTATTCTGCAGTTCCAGAACAGCCTAATTTGTAAATCTGAAGCTTCGGACACCGAAAACGCGAAATCCGACCGTTGAGTCTTAAATCCGACAATAGGACCATACCAGATTTGGCACTGAACCCTGCGTTCACCAATTGTAAGATCATGATCATACGCAAAGACCAACAAGAATATGCTTGAGTGGTCTAGCTATGCTATCATTTGGCCTTATGTTAATAGACCGTTACAATTGGACGTAGGAATTTGCAGACTTGGCTAACCTTCGAAACCTAATGTGTAAATAAGGAGATCGTAAATAGCCTGCCAAGTTGGGCAAATTGATGGATCTGAATGGTGCTGTTCGTTATAGACCGCACATTCTCAGATTCTGGATAGCTTTTGCATGAGACTCACAATGCTTCCATGCAGTATCTAGTCACTGACTGATTTCCGTGACCACTCAGCAAGGGTACATGCCCGTTATATCAGTTGTATATGTGCCAATCATCCCTTGCGCAATGACTCCTAGCTGAGCACCGTCATCTGGCCTCACTTCTAACCGCAAATACACTTCAAAAATGGATTGGATCTCTCAAAATCGATTATGTTGCGGGCTTGGGTTTCCAGTCCTGATATCAGGTCTCTGGGTAGAAGAAGCAGATCATGTTCGCAGGTTTAATCGAATGTATTTCCGCACATTGGAGTAGAATATGTAGACGTCGTAAGGTAAGCGAGGGATACAAGCACGGGCTAGATGAAGATGATATTATTAAGACCATACTAAGCAAAATATTGATCACCAATGTCCTTGGGAACTATCTGGGGATGGGTCCGATTAATCAGCCTACCATTATCCCAGGGAGCTCATGCAATAGAACCTAAAGGCCTCTGTCGTTCTCATACTTCACATTGTCTGCGGGGTGATATAGAGTATTGAGAAAAGCACATGTCAACTAACAAAAAGCCCAGAAGAACAAGAGAAAGCAAGTTGTCAGTTGTTGATTGTATGAAGACTACAGTAAAGTCAAGAGTGAAACTTTAGACAACTTGTTGAAACACATGACAGTGAGCGGTTACCCCGCCTTCCATATTGGGTGTACTCTAACCTGTCAGTAAACATGCATTACAAACTAGATACTGTAAAGAGCTAATTCAGTTGCACCAGTTAAGGGCTTCAAGCCTGGTAATATGTTGTGGAAACATGTACACACAAACTATCATTTGTATCTATTCCTCCTATATCTTCTACCTCGGCACATGAAAATCCAGCCTTATAATGACCCCCATTATAGCACCAACACCATCAGAACAACCATCACAAGATCAGACCACCACCATCTATTCCCACCACTCATACAAAACGCTCAATTCTAAACTCACCAACAAGTCTATACATCTGAGCCTACCGTACAACAAAATCTCCCACTAATCATATATACACCCAGAATCTAACTCTATCTATCAGTCTAGTCTACCATCACCCCACCCTAACAACAACACCAACACCACAACCCCACCTTCACTATACACGCCCCTCACTGACTAACTAATCTCCTACTGATTCCCCGCCTCCCTCTCCGCCACCATCTCCTCAATATGCGGATTTAACCAATACTCGCCTAACACCTCCGTACTCAAATTCTTCGCACCGTCAATCTGTCCCTTACATTTCTCCCCACTGCCACACGTACACTCAAACGGCTGATCCATCTCCCACTCCGTCGACGGGTAAAAGAACGTCAACGGCTCCCCCGCCTTTAAGTCGCGATTATCCACGACCCGCACCTCCATCTTGTGCATGTCGAAGTTGACCGTCGGATCGCACGAGTGGTTGCAGTACACGAGGTCTGAGTTCAGCTCGATGTGGCTGTCTCGTCCAATTTGCACGGATGTGTAGGCTTTCTTGGACGGGGTGGTTCCGGTGATTTTGCATAGGACGGAGCCGGCGGGTGCGGAGACGAGACTGTATGCGCCGCTGGCGAAAGGGATCGGGCTGCGGTTGACTTGGATTAGGGTGGGGTGGGAGGGGGTGGGTTCTTGTGTTGTTGCTGTGGTGGTGGTGGTTGTGGTTGTCATTGTGGTTGACATGTTGGAGGAGAGGTAGATGGAGGAATAGAAGAGACTGTAGTAGTAATGTAGGTTGTATTGTAGGTAGATAGGCAGGTAGGTAGGAAAGAAGTGAGAGCGTCCCTGGGACTAAGGACGGGCAAATCCTCCCCTACTTAAGTATCGGCGTAAAGGATCTCAAGCATATTGCACCGGCCGAGGATGTCTGCGGACGAGTGGATCTGGCAGCAGATGGTGACGCAGGACTATTGGCAGAGTCATGGAGCTTACAGTGGGAGGGCGGGAATGATCACGGAACAGGCACCTTGTTTATGGTTATCTGGTGGATCAGCCGAGGTTCATCACGTAATAGTACTTGGTGGCCTGCATTAGAGTGCAGTCCTATTCTTGATGCGTGCATGAGTTTCTTAGTCTAATTTTTGGGCTCAATAAAGTAGATAGGTAGTTAGCAGTTTTAATTATCGATATCATTCCACGCCATTCCACACATCCCCGCTCCTATTGAACATCCAACAAAGACGACAAGAATCAGCCAAACTCAATTCAACCGCACCGTAAACTCCTGTCCATTCAACCACCGTTCCAGATTCTGCGCCACCTCTTCATACCATCCATGGATCTGTTCATCCACATATCCCATATGCGGCGTCAAGAGCACCTCACTCCGCCCGTCCTTCCCCCACGCCGTCGTTCTCCACGGACTATCCGCCGGCAACGGCTCGGTCTCAAACACATCCAACGCCGCCGCGGCAATCCCACCCCGATTTAACGTCTCGAGCAACGCCGTCTCCTCCACCAACGGGCCGCGTGACGTGTTCACAAGGAGGGCCGACTTCTTCATGGCTCCGAGCTCCTCCCGCCCCACGATCCCCCGACTCCGCTCCGACAACACATTATGCAAACTCACCACATCCGCCTGCCGGAAGAACTCCAACTTCTGAGGAATAGCCTCAAAGCTACCTGCAGGTAATCCCATCGCTTCTGCCTGCTCATCCGCCTTTTCCTGCGTCAGGTTCGTCGACCAGGCAATCACCTTCATCCCGAATGCCTGGACTGCTACCCGCCCCACCTGCGCCCCGAGCTTCCCGACACCGAGCAACCCGAGCGTTCTGCCCGCCAGCGACAGACCAAGTGATCCCTGCCATTCGCCGCGTTTTATGGCTGCATCGTCACGTGCAATATGTCGCGCTGCTCCGAGGATCAGTGCCCACGTGTGTTGCACTGTGGAGTGGACACCGGTGAGGCGGTACTTTGTGCCTGCGACGGGGATGCCCCGCTCCGCGCAGTAGGCGGCGTCTAGGGCGAGGTTGCGCGTGCCGGTGGTGAGGAGGAGCTTGAGATTAGGTAGCGCGGATAGTGTCTCCTTGGAAAAGGGAGTGCGTTCGCGCTGGGTGACAATGATCTCGAATGGGTACAGGCGCTGGATGAGTTGCTTGTGTTGGGCGGGGTCGCGCGGGTTCAGTGTGTCGGGGAAGTAGCTGATGTCAACGCGGGAGGTCAGGTGGGCAAAGTGCCGGGGAGAGATGTTTTGGTAGTCATCGAGGATGGCTACTTTGGGAGGCATCTTGATGGTGGTTCGAAGTAGATTGAATACGAGTGTAGTTGGTGGATAGGAAGTATCTATGGCGATTAATAATTGGAAGGAAAAGCCAGCTTATAACCCGGGATGAGGGTATATCCGGAGCCCCGCGATGAGCTCAGATGCTCCCCGCACCGGTCATCGGAGGGGCAACTTGGGCGGATAAAGGGTCCAGAATGCAGGGACAGCTACTCTAATATTGAACATATACTCGATACGAACAGGGATGAATTCATCAAGAGCAATCATAACCCCAACTAAGCAATGATTTATATACCTTTTTGTCCCTTTGTATATTTACTTGGATACCTCATCACCCATCCTACACAGACGGGGAGCACGGAGCTACTACTCCATACTAGCAGGTCACACCCACCCGGCAGATCAACTAGCTACTTAGTACTTAGACAGCTATCCAGATATCCAAACAGCGTAGCATACCACCACCACCACCATAATCACCCTACATCCCTTCACCCTCCTCCTCCCACTCCGCCGCTCTCTCCAACATCCCCACGCTTGCCCTCAACAGTACCCTCTCACCATCCCGATCCCCCACCTCCCATCTATGCTCAAAATCCACTCTATAAAACCACAACGCCTCTTCCACCGCCCACCCCTCGCGAAACATAACTTCCGGTTCGCCGCGACAACACGCCCCCGAACCATCCCTGAGCTTATTCTCCTCCGACAAGACGACGCTCCCGTCCTGGATACCGGCATCCAGCATCTCTCTGCTTTTTTCGTAGACGGACTCGAGAAGCGCGCCGACGTCGGCGTGCAGGATGCGCGTGGGTAGGTCGGCGTTGTTGTGCACGCAGTCGCGGCCGGTCGTGATGTAGATGGTGCCAAGGTGGTCGAGGGGTGCCGGGCCGGTGAAGGATGGGTGGCTGATGAGGCGCGTGCCGGTGGGGGTTATTTGGGGGGTGAGGGATTGGGATAGCAGGTTCAGGGAGGTGATGCGTTGGTGGAGAGGGAGGAAGGGGAGGTGGGTGAGGTAAGTGGTTAGGTGGGGGGTTTGGTGGAGATGATGATGATGCTGATGAGGGAGGTTAGGGTTCATTTTGGGGGGGATTGATGATGTGTGAGATGGTGATGATGGTGGTGGTGGTGGTGGTGGTGGTGGTGGGGCTTTGGAGAATGAGATTGCGATTTTGATAGATCATACTTGTGTTGACTTTTTATACTACTTGATGGGGGCGTGACTTTTGTGGCTTCATGGTTTGTGTTACTGCCATGATGGTCTGATTAAGCGGTACTTTCCATTGCAAGCTAGGTGTGAGTTTGTACATCATGTACAGTTATGGGTGCTATATAAGGAGTATATTCGTGCATAGAAAATCATTTGCGCCGGATCGTCGCCGTTATCTTCGTCTGAGCCTTTTGAACAAAGATCCCATCATCCCTACTCCGGAATTTGGTTCACTCTTCCTTTTCGTCGCTGGTTCATTTGAGGTTTGTGTCCTGTCGGTATTGTCACGGCCATCTTCCATGTTACCGTCATGTTGTCCTCGTCCATCACCACCATCACCACCATCACCACCATCACCACCATCACCACCATCACCACCATCACCACCATCACCACCATCACCATCATCACCATCATCACCACCACTATCATCACCACTATCATCACCACCATCATCACTACCATCACCTGCAATATTATCACCTTCACTATCCTCGTCCCCATCATAGCTTTCAATACTGTCTTCATTATTGCTGTCATCGTCGTCGTCGTCGTCGTCGCCGTAGTCGCCGTTTGCCTGACGAATGAACATTTGTCGATAGCGATGTGCCTCTTCCCTGAGATTTCTCAATGCACTAATCCCATCCTTATATCTTTCGACGAGCTGACCTTCATCGAGACTATCATCATCAAACCTGAAAGCCTTGATCGCCGTCATCTGGAAGTCCATCTCTCTCTGTTCTCTTTCAGGCGGCGAAGTCGGATGAATAGCATAAATAGTCATATGGGTGGTTGCAAGCACAGCAACAAATGTATGCGCCCGCCTATCAAATGGAATGTTGCCTTTGGTATACTGCTCCAGCTCACGTAGTGCCCGAGCCCCAAGGGCACCACTATGCAAGGCAGCACGTGCCCCAGCAAATTGATCGTTATGCTTGAGCAAGTTGTAGAGGAAAAAGTTCGGCAAGATCATCTTGTTGGGGTCTTCTTCGTCTTCTTGCACGTCATCCAAAAGGTGATAGGGGGTGATGTATCTCTCAAGGATTGTGTGTATGGTTGGTTGTTTTTCTCTCTTCTTCCCCTTTTCATTCGCCTTGTCCTTTCCCTGTCCAATTCCTCTTTTTCCTTTTCGCTCAGTTTCCTCGTCCTTCTCATCATTTTCCTCGGCTTCATTCACTTGTCCCATGAGGTCCTTCGGATCGGCTCCGTCGACAAGATCAGGCCTGGCTGAGATCATATGTGGCACTATGGGATCGAGGTTGTAGAAGTACTTTTTCGTTGCTGTTATCGTTCCCTCTAAAGCCCTACCCCTATGGTTCTCGGTTTCTGTACTTTCGTACCCGAAGAGGTTCAAGTAGATACCTCGCAACGCGTTAGTTCTGGTCTTGTATTGCGTGATCAATCTGGTAAGATTAAGCCGCGCTCCCTGACCCATATTATCCATATCGGACCGATCTTGTCTCATAATTTGTCGAAGATACTCAATATTGGACGGCTCGCGATCCCTACCAAGCCGTTTCTCCACCCCGTTGTGTTCCAGATAGCCTTCTAAATTCTTGTCATAAATAGCGGGCATACTGAGTTTGGGGACGTCAAAACTGCGGTCTCGATAGATTCTATGTTGATACTAGAAGAAAAGATTAGCTTGTGATGAATCTGATTAACAATGAAAGATAAGGAACCTACATCACAGAGGTGCGTCAGATCAGGCCCGCCTCTTTTCGCAAAGTCCTCTACAGACTTGCAGCTAGTCTCCAGTGCTGGTGTCTCGTCACGACCGTTTCCCCACCTAATCGTTCCTTCGCGATGGCGGAACTCCATAAGTGCGCTGTAAGTTAAATGGATCTTTGGCTGCTCATCCCAGTATTCCTGGCTAAAAAGCTTTCTTCGCCTTCGAGCGGCAGCTGTCTTCTTCATTTTCGCCATGCCTCCTTTCAAGGGTAATGCTTTCGGATGACGAGCTGGTTTGAATACTTGCGGTTGAGGGTTGGTGTGCTGGGACTTTGGCTCGCGTTTGACACGCTTTGCGCTGGCCTTTTGCCGGGGTTGGTTGTCGTTTGGCGGATTGTGTGCCATGGTGGTACAGTACAGTTGATATTTCTGTTTGTAGGATGTGTTGGATTCGATTATAACACGATGTTGGGGGTTCCGAGTCCCACTTTACTTCTACATATAAGTGCGTTGGTTGCACAGTGCATTGTAAACGTCGGGTTCATTGTTTGCCGGCGTTGGCTCTTTGTTTCGGCGGTGTGTGTTGCAGAAGACATTGTGGCTACTGTCCATGTCAGGTGTTAGAGACTTTGTCCGTTTCAGTTTCAAAGTGGAAGACGTTATAGAAATTCTGCATCTTTTATTGTAGACTGATCAATAGAAAGGCCTTGCCTTGTTGTTATACCGTGATACCTAGTAAATATAGTATCGCGTATTCACTCTGAAAGCAGGTGAATTGTTGAGAGGGGTGGGTCCTTTACATATTATGCACATTATATATCTCTATTCTTGCAACATCTAATAATGACTTTCATTGTCTGCCTTACAGGCCCCATTGTGCCATTCAAACACCACCAGCCAAGTCTCTTAGCTTTGAACCCATTCAAACACATCCATCAAACAAACATTCAATAACTCTCTGTGTTCTTTATTCTTTATTGCCACTGTTACAATGAATTACTATAAGCACATAGTCTACTATAAGCAGCTACACCTTCTCCATCTTCCTCGTTCTCTTGCATACAAGTCCATTATAGCACCATTCGATAGAGTAAATCCTAAACGGCAAGAAAAATGAAACAACTCGTGAGTGAACTCACCTTTCACAAGAGGCAGTAGCTGATCAAGGAAAGGATATCATCGTCGCAAACCGTTTCCAAATCGTCAATTTCATCTCTTCGGGAGCCTATGGCGACATCTATGAAGGTAACCACCCCCACCTTCCCCCTTCCCCAAATACACGTACTCACCATTCCAGCAACCGACCTTGAAAGCAAAACCAAAGAGCGCGTTGCGCTAAAAATGGAACGTACAAAGTTCCCTGACTCCCTCAGCAGGGAGTCAGTATTCTACGAGAAGCTCCAAAAGGGCAAAACCACCGGCATGCTTAAACTCCACTTCCCTACCGACATCTGTGATGACTACCGCGTCATGGGTATCGACCTTCTAGGCCCCAGTCTCTGGGACCTTAAGCATTTCTGTGGGGGCAAATTCAGCCTCAAGACAGTTCTCTTGATAGTGGAACAAGCGCTATTCCGATTAAAGTCTCTACATGACCGGGGTATTATCCATCGGGATTTAAAGCCGGACAATTTCCTCATGGGAAGAGGCCGTCAAGGAAATATCATTTACCTTGTGGATATGGGCCTTGCGCAGGAGGGAGTGGAGGCGCCTGGCGATCCGATGGATTATGAGGGACATCAGGCGCTTTCGTTTGTGGGTACGAACGATTACGCACCTAGGGCTGCGCATCGGTTACACTGTTTGTTTCCCCTAACGCCATTTGATGATGAAATCGTGGTTACAGGCTACTAACATTGGTGTAGATCAGACGTATCGTGATGATATGGAGAGCTTTGGGTACGTGCTCATCGACCTTCTCAAAGATGTGTTACCCTGGGGTCATATGACTACAAGTGTTGGGGGGGTAACGCCCCAAGATCGGATGGGAAGAATGAAAGAACAGATCAGTCTTGACAATCTATGCAAAGATCTCCCAGAGGTGTTCAAACATTACTTTGAACACGTGAGATCGCTGCGGTATAACCAACGGCCGGACTACACTAAGCTCCGGCAGATGTTCCTAAGCGAATTTAAACGACAGGGATTCCACCATGATTTTGTCTTTGACTGGACGCAAAGGCGCTTTGATCAAGCAGCTGAGGAATCGTATGTGTCATTTTCGTCAGAGTAGTGACTCTAACTAACAGTGAACATCCATTCTTTAGGACGACCAGTGAAGATTGAACGACACCATATAGCACCACTACTCAAATCGAACATGAATCCAACAATTACTCCAACTTGAGCAATTTCTCCTTCGCAAACTCCTCAAACCCCCTACTCCCCTCTACCAACCCCAGCGTCTCCCTAACCTTCCCCTCCTCATCTCCCCCATAATACCCAACCTCCCCATAGAAACTCAACATATCCACCACCTGCCTCCCCATCTGTCCCGGCATGAAACCCGCATACACCTCCTCTTCCATCCTCAAATACCTCATCCTCTTCCCCGTCACCCTCGCTATAACCTCCACCACCTCCTCAAACGACCAAACCCCATTAGCAGCATAAACCCTTTCAGTATCCCTCATCAGAATCGGAACCACAAACTTTCCCAGATCCCTCACCGTATCAATCAAAGGTATCTTCTTCTCCCCATCAATGACATTATACAAAACCAAGTCCCCCTGTCCCTCGGGATCAGGAACAGGCCTCATGAATGTCTCGAAATTCTGCATGAACATCCCGGGATAGAACACTGACACTACTACGTCATGGGATAAAGTCAGTGTACGCAATGCCTCCTCAGCCGCGACCTTCGAGTCGAAGACATCCACTTTCCGCCCGTGCGGATGGGCGGGCGCAGCGCTGCTGAAGATGATGTGTTTGATGGTATTGGTAGTGGCGAGACATGCGGAAATGATGTTCTGGACTTGGGTGAGTTCTTGGTGTTTGAGGTCCGGGGCTGAGTAGTCCGTTTGGGTTATGAGGATTAGGGTGTGCGTGTTGGTTAGGGCTGGGATGAGGGTGCGAGGGTCGTTGAGGTCCGCGGGGAGGACTTTGATGCCTTGCGCGGTGAGGGATTGAGCTGTGGAAGAGGATGGATTGCGGACTAGGGCGCGGAGGGTGTATAAGCTATGGAGGGTTGGGTGGTGCGTTATGGCGGAGATGATGGAGAGGCCTTGTTGGCTGGTGGCAGGGAGGATGGTGAGGAGTTTGGGGAACATTGTGTGGTTGGTTGTAGATAGTTGGTTTATGATGTGAAATGGATTGAGTGATTGACTGATTGATTGTTGCATTGAGGTTGTGGTGGTGAAGCTGCTGTTTATTTTAGGTATCCATGATGTAGTCGGATTTTGTATATACGTCCGGTCGGAGATTGTATGGACGCCGGCTCCTGTGTTGGAGATAGTTGTTAGGGACGGATATAGACTGCATGAGGGCCGGTCGGTGTCCGGGCTCTTAGGACCGGCGTGGGCTGAGGGTGTTGTGGACTTTGCTTAGTTTCGAAACTTGTTCCCTGGTTAGGATATAGTAGTGTGTTGCAATAATGTAGTCTTTGGAGTAAGATTCCATGATTGTTATTATCCTAAGGTCCTGCTAGATCTTCAGAGCTATCGAAAATCTATTTATCTCTTGCATGCGCACTGATAAGGGTTAATTACATTCGGGAATAACCTGTGCACGTGGCTGACGACTCAGCATGCCACTCTCCTCTTGCAAAAGACTTTCCAGACCCTGTGATATAAGAAGCTATGACAGTGTGGCTCCATGAGATCAACCTCGATCTGTCTACCAAGGTCCTTGAGTTACATGCGCCTCGAGACTCATGGGCTTTGACACCTGTAGCCAGATCCCGACTCCACTTTCCGCCCGGAAGCTGCAATCTTAAGGTTAATAGCATTAAAGCACTTTAAATAGACCACAATCTTCATAGATCTGGGACACTCACCCCAATACAGTTGTGACGTTAGACTTTAAGACCCGACCATGAAACAGTGAACTGAAATAGCAAATACATAGAACCATTTATTGTCTAAAGCTAACGTTCTCTATCATTAAATTAGGAAAATGAACCTCTCGTAAGCTACCCATCCCAGCATCATAAGGCCTCACAGAGGCGCCATCCCCTCGAACTGCTCAGCTCCATCAGCAGGATCAAGCCAACATACCCGTCTTCCGGTGTATACTTCATGTCCTGGCTTATACTTATTCACTGTCTCGTCATCGAAGATACCAGCACGCACGATCTTGAGTTCACCCGCACTTCCATCGGCGTTTACTTTGTGTCCGTAAAGGGGCGTACCTACAAACATCGAGTTTAATATTACCACAATTCAAGAGTTGAGAAATATTACTCCAACATACCACAGTCCCCACAGAAGTGGTTCATGATCCGACCTCCGCTGTCGCATGTCTTCGGTAGCTCTTTGGGACTCCCTGATATTTTGAAGCTATCACTTTTGAACACAAAATTGTAGGAATACAAAGTGCCGGTGATTTTGCGACAGTCGTGGCAGTGACATATAGCCTAGTCATGAAGAAAGAAGAAGACAATTAGCAGTGTCGAATTGTGAGAATGCAAGAGGATAAACACTAACGACTATCACAGGCTCGCCGCTAAACTCAACTTGGATGTTTCCGCAGAAGCAGCCGCCTGTCGTCATTTTCAGAGTATGGATTGTTGGATATTGACGGTAGATAGAGGAGACTTAGGGACTAAATGAAGCTGCTGAATCCTAGAGTATGAGATGGCTATTTATTCAATGTGCAAGAGCTAAGCTAAGGACGGATTACAAATTTCGAATGTTCCCAACGTAAGCCGGTTGAGGCCGAGGTTGTTATCAAGGCTCTCAACAGCTTCCCGTTGAGTCATCGAGGCGACGTCTCAGCTAACTATTAGCTAGTACACTGATTGCAATATAGGCCTCGGGTCTTATGAATGACGAAGTGAGTCATAGCTCTGCCAACTAAGAGCCTTTTCTCCGCAGGGGAGCAATCAATCTATTGACTTGCATCATAACCAATATTCGATCCCGCTTATAGACTTCATACAACCTCTTGTGCTTCCGTCAAAAGCTATTGAATTGAGTCTACGCATCTTTTGGCAAATGTTGTGCAGAGTAAGCCAGCGTATCCAGCCTACGAGCCGGTCCAGTTTCTGGTCTTCTGGCTGTTCATGACTAGATCTCACTACAATCATGTGTCTGTAAGAGACGATGCTGTACCGGCAATCACATGTGGACTGTGTTTATTACCTCCCAGTCCAATGCATTGAGTATTTACTGGACACATCTATTCTCCCCTACTTCCTACTTTGGCTTAAACTTATACTCTTTTCCTCCCCCTCTGCTCCAGGGCCAGTAAAGTATCTCACTGTGCGCTCCATGCTCCTGGATACTAACAGGGTTCTTGGCGTTGACTCAGAAGCTTCCAGGCGCCCCCCTATCCCAGTATGAGAATTCGTATCCCACAATCAAATCCACATATCTGAAAATAGTATTTTGGTTCCGCGAAAATACCGTATCGCTTTGCAGAGCCAATGTACCATGCTACTGCTAGCGAAGCTGCTACCCTATGCTTACTCTATTCACAAGGCATTCCCGTGCCTCGGCTATATGGGTATTCACCTATAGAGATACCCTATTGGTGTGAAGTAAATTCTAATGGAGAAGGAATTAGGGTGCTTACAGACCACATGTCATGGCATGTGCAAGTGTTATCGCCATAATATTCCATCTTGTCTTATTAAGAATGAGCGAAAAGTCTTCAGTATGCCTTTAGGCGAAGGAATTAGGAGAAGCGAATAAGAACACGGCTTTCAGACTTGCTTGTTCTATTTGAGAATCATGGCTGACACGTAGACAAGAAAACAATGTCTCTTACTTGACACAGACGAGCTAGGCTTTCAGTGGAGCTTAACATGGTAGGCGACAACAGCTCTCATACAGCCCTATTTTCTTGGTCCTGGTCGCCGTGGCTGAGCTGGTGTAGTATGCTGAATCCCTTAGCCCGCCGTGATAGAATATATGACAGAATCTTCTCAATGGCAAGGCGGCAATTCATGCACCATTCCCTATTCCATAGTAGACTCGGTCCACCAAATAAGTTCCAGCTGTGCTTGTTATTATGTGATATCTGAGCTATGACGCCATCGCCTTTTTTTGTTGTCTAGCATGGCACGATGTATCGCGCCCCAAAACGTTGAGAGTCCGCCGCGAATCGCTTGTGGTTATATATGCTTTGATATAGGTTTTCCATATTTAGTTAGGCTTCCTTGTGTTTTTATGCAAATGCAGAGGCGGTTTCCGTTTTTATCATGGTTGCAGACCTAGATATATTTAGCTTCTTGCAGGGTAGTCCTCATAGTATTTCAGGCGCAGGCAAGATACCGGACTTGGTATAGCTGTGATAGTATATAAAGGGTGGATTCACCGCAGGGATATGATAGCAGGATATCATGTTGCAGGTGAAATTCAGTCTTATATATTGTTGGTATAATTAAAGTTGTTTCCCGTTAATTTCTGCCTGGAACGGATAATCTAATATATGTGTATTTTTTTTTTTTTTAATTTTGGTATTGTACGTAGTAGTTAAGTTGTGACGGCATTTAGGGCTTTACTATGAGCAAACAGGGTACTGGGAGGACAGGAGCTTGTCAGATCATCTGTGTTTTGGAATAATTGTCGAAAATTATCCCTTCGTGGCTTTATAGTGAAAGATATAGGCGACCGGAAGGTCAAGTGTTGACCTTCTAGCGGACACCTTATATGTCTGGTACTAGTGCTTTTCTATCCATATCTGTAACAAACTGCACTGGATTCGAGAAAGATATATAAGGTAAATGTTGATGAATGGCTGGTCTATCTTTGATTATTAAGGTGCAGCACCTCCAAGAAGTGGAAGATCCTGTATGAAATATGTAATCTTGCCGAGGCAAATAGCACCTCAGGTCACATTAGAGCTATCTGGACATAGGAAACAGTACCCACTGTGGCTGTAATGACATGGAGTAGAAAAAGAAATAGGAGAAAAAGAGATATATCAGGCCAATGCCGTAACCGAGCACTCCTGCTCCATCGCCGCAGGCCCGCCAATGTGACTCGTCAACCCGCGGCCGACGGGCTCAAAGAAGAGAAAAGTAGAAACAATGTGGGGAATTTAACACAATGAAAGCGAAAGGAAAATGGAAGAACAAAGAGAAGTGATCAACACGAAGGAAATCCTAGCGCATCCCAATGCTTATGAGGAAAAGACACAGACGGAAATAGACAAAGAAAGTAGCGAGGACACCAACAGACCAGTCGCTTCTGATCCCCAGGACTTGGCACCAGATCACGATATCCTACAGCCCAAAGTAGGGAAAGTTCGATCATCAACATCACGTCGTCCCTTATACGTAATCGTTCATCCCACTCATTTGGTCGTGACTCAGACGTTCTTATACAGTAGCAGGGGTTCGCCAACATTTTCGATCTCGGGAATCGTGCACTTGAGGTCAAAAGCCTTGGCCAAGACGATCTTGAAGATCTACCACGCTGTCAACACTAGCAACAGGGAATAACTTCACACACATCGGGACATACCTTCTGCACGTTGATGCTGTGACTCGTACTGCTAAAAATTAAACTAGCTTTCATGGCCTTGGCAAACCGTTTCGCCTATAGGTGGTCAGTGCGCGCTAAGACACCTCATATGCATACTCGCCTACCTGAATCGAGATCTCTTCCTGGTCTTCGCGGGGAAAGTTGACGAAATGGTCATATTTGGTACCGATCAGGAAGGGGATGGCAGTCTTGTTGAACCCACGACCTTGTCGATACCATTCCTTAATTGAGTTCAGAGTGCTTTTCCGCGTGAGATCGAACATGAACAGAATGGCGACAGCATCGTTGCACACAAGGGGAAGCATGTTGACGAATTCACGCTGGCCACCCAGATCCCAAATCGAGAACGTAATCTCCGTATTCCGAATGGAGATGGTCTTCTCCATGAAGTTGACACCTTAAGATCGCGGTCAGCATTATTCATTCCTAACCGCGCAAAGAATCCGCTGCATACCGAGAGTCTGGATATAATCCTCGTCCCAACTACCCTCCACATATTTCACCATTAAACTGGTCTTTCCGATCTGGGCATCTCCGACCATACCCACCTTGATCACCACGCTGTTCTTGGTTGACTGCGACGGCTGCTTTTGGCTGACATCGTGCGTAGGCTGAGGCAGGCTGGTGGACATTTCGGAGCTGGGCCGGGATGACGATAACGGTTGTGGCTGATGGGTCAGCGGGGAGAAGTTCTGTCGAGGTTGATCGTTTTCATTGTGGAAATCGCGAGCCGGAGAGTTGAATTCGTGGGAGGAGTAGTGGGCGCGCGAGTCGCTACTGTAGCCATTTGTGCTTGTGAACTCGTCTGGTCCCGCCAGTCCGAGGCTTGCGGGAGCGGGTGTATCGAGGCTCTGGGATTGCTCCAGATGCGCCTGATTTGCGACATCCGAAGTGCCGGCCACGGGCAGTTGCGACGCATCCATATTTGGATGACAGATGTTGGGTTCGGATGGTATCTGTGGGTGGTGTGGATTAGTCCCAGGCGTAAACACGGTCGAAGTCCGGTGGAGCGGGGATGCTGAGACCAACCGAATTTGAGGATTTGGGATCACAGCACCGGTTTCCCGGAACCCATCCAACGGAACAAAATCAGACGATGACAAAGGGGAGGAGAGAATGATCTAGGAGATTACTGATTTGTCAGTTATCATGTTTGGGAATGCAAGCGCTGAAGCTTGGGACCGGAGCTGGGGCAATGAGCGGAAAGGATGGGTTTGGGTAGTGGTGGTATGCACCTTTTGTTGCAGAAACCAAACAATGTGACAGGTGCACTAGTAGTCAAGGCACGCAGCCGTGTGGAATGACTGGGGGGGGGGGTTTGGGCGATAAGGAAACGACTTAGCGGCACCAAGCAGAGACCAGGGAGTGTGTGAAACGAAGGCGGTGCCAACCACGGAGCAGCAACAGAGAGTAGCAGCAGCACCAACGAGAGGGAAAGAAGGACAGGAACCAGCTGAGGAGGAGGGATGAGGAACAGCCCCTTGGAGGAGAAAGCAAGACAAGCAAAGCAAACACAGCCGCAGCTCCTCCAGAAAGCAAAGCCAGCAAAAAAGCGGGCGCCAGACTCCGATCGCGCCTATTCCCCGATAGGCTTAGCGCCCTTGTCCCGTGAATTTCGGCCTGGCGAACAGAAAAAAAAAAGTTCCCCGAGTCTCGCTGCCACGACATTCAGCCAGTCTCCTGCTACTCAACCGGGTTTGTGGACGACCGACAATTGAAATTTAATTCCCCGACACCCTACACGTCCCACCGGTTCATCATGTCGAAGAGATCTGCCGACGTTTCCGACGAGCAGAACGCCGCCCTCAAGGCCGGTGAGCGTCCCGTCGTCGATGCCCCTCCCGACGAGGTGGGGGAGTTCGAGGACGAGTATGAGGATGAGTTCGAGAGTGAGGACGAGGTTCTCGAGGCTGGCGTAGATGGTCGCCCCGATGCTGAACGGGAGGAGGAAGAGAAAGGTACGATCTTGCCCCCATTGCGACGGGTTCTGCCAGTCGCATACTGCCATCCTCGAATGCGGCAGTCATACTGACCCCGACTGGTTTCTTCAGATGCCATGGACCTAGACAAGCAGACTTTTATTCCCGGAAGGACAAAATTGGCCCCCGGAGAGGTCCTCTCTCCCGACCCGTCCACTTACGACATGCTGCACACTCTCAGCACCCCGTGGCCCTGTCTATCGTTCGATATCGTGCGCGATTCGTTGGGCGACAACCGCAAGACTTATCCCGCCACTGTCTACGCCGTAACAGGCACACAAGCAGAGGGCCGACGTGCAAAGGAGAATGAGCTGATGGTGTTGAAGCTAAGTGGTATGAGCAAGATGGACAAGGAGGATGGCATGGATTCGGACAGCGACTCCGATTCGGACGACGACAGCGAGGCGATCCTGGAACACAAGAGCATTCCCCTCGGATCGACGACCAACCGCATCCGCGCCCACCAGACCCCCAACCAGTCCGGGGACTACTCCAAGCCCCCGCAGACTCTTACCGCCACTATGCTCGAGAACTCCCAGGTCGTGATCCACGATGTTACCCCCCATCTCACCAGCTTCGATGTCCCTGGAACCATCCTCCCTCCCTCCGCCAACAAGCCCCTGTCTACTCTCCGCATGCACAAGTCGGAGGGATACGCCCTCGACTGGTCTCCGCTACAGCCCCTCGGCAAGCTGTTGACTGGTGACAATGACGGTTTGATCTACGTGACGACTCGCACTGAAGGCGGTGGCTGGGTCACCGACACTCGTCCGTTCACCGGCCACATGTCGTCTGTTGAGGAGCTCCAGTGGTCTCCCAACGAGAAGAACGTTTTCGCCTCTGCCAGCAGTGACGGCAGTGTCAAGGTGTGGGACGTTCGTTCGAAGTCGCGCAAGCCTGCTGTCGACGTGAAGGTCTCGAACACCGATGTCAACGTCATGAGCTGGTCGAACCAGACTTTCCACCTCCTTGCGACAGGTGCGGATGACGGACAGTGGGCCGTCTGGGATCTGAGACACTGGAAGCCGAATGCCGCGGCTCCGGGATCTCAGACCACCGCTTCCCCTGTTGCCTCGTTCGACTTCCACCGTGAGCCTGTGACGAGTATTGAGTGGCACCCGACCGACGACAGTGTCGTCGCGGTCGGTTCCGCCGACAACACGGTCACGCTGTGGGATTTGGCTGTGGAATTGGATGAGGAGGAGAATCGTGAGGCGGGAATGCAGGAAGTTCCGCCGCAGCTACTGTTCGTGCACTACATGGAGTCCGTCAAGGAAATCCACTGGCAGGCCCAGATGCCCGGTACGATCATGGCTACGGGCGGTGCTGGATTTGGGTAAGTCATACTCCACTCTGTTTTTTTCTTTTTATTTTAAGGGACACTAAAGCTAACAAATCGAAACAGTGTGTTCAAGACAATCAGTGTGTAGACAAAGTTCAACAAAAGTGCCATTTAAACGAATGCATATAGGTAGTTTGGTGCGTTTTGATGCGTTATACCACATGATCGGTTATGTTATTGCTTTATGATGAATTATATAGATTACAATGATGAAGCATGATGCCCATTTCAGAGATGTTCCCATATATATACCTGATTGCCAATTCTTTAGCCCCAAGCTTGATTATACCATAATCTTGGTATAGGTTGTATCTAGCCAGTCACTCCTTGATTCAAGTAGTAGTAGTAGTAGTATTAGTAGTGAACCACTCACTCTACTTGACCCAGTTTAACCCCAGCCCAAGTCTCCACTTTCCTTGTTTTATGTAGAAATCTCGACTGAATCGCTAAGCGGGATGACCCGGATCTGCTGGTCAGCTCCACCTACTTAGTACTCTTGTGCCCTATGAGCAACGGCAGCAGTAGCACCATTAGCAGCATTTGCGGTTGCGGCAGTGGTGCTGATAAAAGGGCCCTATAACGATATCATATTCATAGAGAGAGTACTGAAACTGCCGACCGCGTCTACTCCATAGTGACTACTCGATACACCCACCCACCAGGGGTCCCATCAACTGGGTCGAGTCGAAACGATATTTCGATGTCGAGATAAGTATGCGGGCTATGAATAGAGATGCAAAGGGGTCTTGTCCCCCGCTGCCCGGCGGCTAGCTAGTAACAATCTTCCCGGTATCGCTCCTGTCTGATTAAGATCTTGTAAATATCCTTCTCTCCTAATCACAGCAGCGCTCGCTATTGTTGAGCATCGCGTAAGATATTCACGTATTGAGTAACATGAGCATCCGGACGGGCAGCCTGTCATCGGGGTTATGAGTCGTGTGGTAGCGGGACCCGGTCTGAAGAGATAGACGGTGATCCTTAGATGAATATGTATCAGAGACATGTAAAGTAGGGGACGATGGCCAAGACCACCACATCGCCGTCCTGACATCCCGGTTTCGAACGCCGGAATGAAGAGGCAGATGACTGCGGGGATCTCACAGCAGACGATTCCGACGGTTTTGAGTATGGAGACGGCGTCGGAAACTGGTGGTGTATGTATGCATCATTAGTAAAATATATAGGCATGCTTGCATACATGAAGACCCGGAGTCTGGTGTCGGGCGTTGAGTTGGTGTGGGTTGACGAGTAGGTAAAGATGCCATCAAGCCAGGCTATAGAGAATAACACGCGAGTCACTTTTTTTAGTTGTGAGTGGTGACTGCGTTATCATTCCGCGTCCATGTACTTCTCGTGGAGATGTACAAGGACGGTATTGTCCATGGCTTCGAATTTGTCGGCCAAATGATCCTGCGTTCGACCGGCTGGTCAAGCTCATCTGCTATAGTTTGAGCGATTATGAATGTCTATGGCTTTGAATTTGTCAACCAGCTTATTCTTTTTTCATCTGGCCGACCAAGCCCATCCGCCATAGTGTAAGCGACGTTGAAGACTTAGATAATTTCTGAGGCCGTCAGTCGGCCACTTCAGTTGTGCCATTGCATTAGAGTATTTTTGCAATAGGCATCAAAGAAGTTGACGGAACTTACGTACCCGTCAAGGGCCCTTGTGCACTGTGTACACTTGCGTCAAAGTCTTCATTCTGGTATCTCTTGCCTTCGCGGCCTTGACACAGTGGGGTCGTTGCCCGTATAGATCCGCGTAGCTTATACTCGCAGGGGGCTGTTGGGTGTCTTGTGTAGTTGTCTAAATACTTCGTACTTTTGACCAAGTATCCCGGTTCGGAGGCTATAGTACTATCGTGGGCTCGGCGGTCTCTTCCGCCCCGAGCAGACCGATATAATAAGTCAGCCTGATAGTACTTATGTTTGCACTATGCTTTGGACCTAATAGACACCCATAGCGTCCCTTATACACCGTCAGTCAGACTTAATTCTTGATGAAAACATAGAAATTTCAAGTAGAAGAACTACTTACCACAGCTCCAAGACCAAGTAAAAGCTTAATCTCAAGAAGTATTAAGACCCCGAAGCCCACATGGGCCACGCTCTTTCCTGTAGAGGCTCTTGTCTGCCAGTACCTAGACGAGAGAGATAGTCCAAGCTTTAAAGACTGAAACCATAAGGCCACATTCAGGAGCCCACCGACAAGCACACCGGTTTCAGGGTTCTTCCAGGTACCAGTCCCTGGGCTACATAGTAATAGATAGCACCGAAGCCACTGATATAAGATACCGATGATGTATCATGCGACAATAACATGTATAGAACACCAAATGGTATCTTCGGCGCTCAGGTTCTGGTAAGGCGTCTGCCTAGTGTGTTGCTGCCCAGTGCTGGTATTGTCCGGATGCAGCAAAGCCGCCTGACAAGCGTAGAAAGTCTCTGACAGCAGGGGGGCTCGTACTTTGGTCGATATCTCAATCCGGAGGGTAGGCAAACGCGTTGCTCGCACCTGTCAGGGGCAAGTCAAGGTGTAACTCGTTTATCAAGTACTCGATACGGTGTAGGGTGACTTGGTCGAGCCGAGAAACGTAGGAAGACGATGACAATGCTCGAAAGGACGCGATTTGATGTGCTATTTCCGCTAAACGACGTTCGTTTCTTGATGATATCGAATAAACAATCAGCAACAACACGCAAGGGGACAAGTAGACGCGTCAAAAGGTAGCGTCGAAAGGGAAACGAAGCTGAAGTGCTCGGAGACTTGGGATTAGCGCGGGAGGCAGCATCGAACGAATAAACAATCAAAAGGAGAGGTCCTGAATTGCCACACGGAGCATGCTGCCAAGATGTAGCAGTCTACATAAAGGCTTGTATCATGATTATGTGGTTGTACGAAGAAGCGAGGAGGTCTTTCCATAGTAGATACTATTTGTGATGGTTTAAACCATATAGATTCTGAAGGTGCGGACCATGTAACAGAAGACATAAGCAATTAGACTACCTGAGGAAAGGCCCATGCCCAAAGACCTATTACAAAGAGGAACGGTATAGGTAAGGCTAAGCTAGAGTCCTCCTTCCGACAATTCGATTAGAGGGCCTGTCACAACGCCTTTTCTACCCCACCTGGGTACATTGGAAGCCAGTTATTCTTCACCTCTTGGTATAG